ATTTTGTGCGATAATGGGCCGCAATACCGATCTCGACAGATGAGAAAACTCGTGGAAGAATATAAGGTGAAAATTAGGTATAATGCCCATTATCATCCTCAGGCAAACCCGACTGAACGAGTGAACAGAACATTAAAGTCAATGTTGGCTATGTATGTGTCCGATAATCACAGGACCTGGGATTTCAACTTACCCAAGCTATCATGCGCCTTGAGAACGGCTCGACATGAGACGACTAACCATACTCCATATTTCGTGAATTTCGGCCGCTCAATGGTTTTGTGCGGAGAGGAGATCTCTCGGAGGAAAAATCTATTGGTTGATACTGAACCTGCCGAAGATTCGAGACCTGAAGGATTTAGAAAACTCTTTGAGGAGATAAGGAAAAGGTTAGATGTGGCTGCTCGAAAGAATGAAAAAACTTATAACCTTCGAAGGAGGTGTGAAGAATTTTGGCCAAATCAACCCGTTTGGAGGAAGAATTTTGTGGTATCAGAGGCGGACAAATATTTTAGTGCTAAGCTAGCGCCAAGATTTGTCGGGCCTTTTTATATAAAAAAAAGAGTATCCCCGTGGACATATGAATTAAGAGATGAAGACGGTAATTATAAGGGGATATGGAATGCGAAAGACATAAATTCAGCTAGCGCTGATGAAAATTTACACTGGTAAATTTTCTTGAGGCAAGGGGGGAATTGTAACGGTCTAAATTTACTTGTAAATATTGTAGGTATTGTTCGTTTATTCATTATGGAATCGACAGAAATGTCATTTATTGATGACGAACTTTTCGTTACAGCTATGGACACATCTGGTTTGCCAGTGTGGCCAACCTACATTTTCAAAGAGTTTCCGTGATTTTTCTCTGAAAACAACGGTGTTTTCGCCGCCATTTCTATTGTATCTCGTGTATTGTACAGATATCCAACTATTCTATTAGATTTTCCTACGATCAAAAATACTTATTTTCTATCTTGCTACCCTATTGGTCCAAAATAGTGACAGCAAGTGGTTAATCAACGTAGTCGATTGTTTTTTTTTTCTAATGAGATTGATAAATCGAGAGAAAGGAAGAAAACCGAGGCCCCCTTCACTTTTTGGAGATCGGTGCCCTTTTCTGTACGTGATAGTTAGCATTTTCCAAATAGACATAAATGTTTTCTCAAACATTCTGATGGGAGTAGGTTCATTTGGATAAATAATAAGTGGAAAGTGTGTATTGGGTATTGTTCCAAATATATCGTTGCGAATTCGGAAGGGATGACCCATATTTCCGCACTCTTAGGAGGATTAATAAAGCTAACTATACGTAAGTCAGTCACGCCATTTTACCTCTCGAATGAAAAAAAAAATGCTTCTAACTAATTTTCTCATTAAATTTTAGTGGCTATCGAAATTCTAACGTTTACATAAAATCATAAGAAGATCAGCAAAACAAAGGCGCAAGGTTCTGCCTCTTAACATTTACAAAGTTACGTATACGATCAGAAACAGAAAGGAGAAAAAAAAACAACTCTTCTGAAAAGAAGGTAGGTCACTTATATGATGAATTACTCTCGGTTTGCCTAGACATAGTTATTGTAATCACTTTAAAGAGGGAATTTATAGACTCGTCAAAGAATTTCCAAGTGTAAAGCAACATCTTCTTTCTGGTAGACAGATGGTTGCTTGTACACATGAATTTCATGATTGTGTTTCTTTTCAGGTAATATTTCCAAAATCAGGCTTTAGTAAAACGGTGGTACTTTATTGTATAGTTGGATATCCGATGTGTTCTTATCATAAAATATATTGAAAATAAGAGGATTACCTGGTTTGCCATGAAAAAAAATTAAGGAAGTGATTGAGAAAGTTACTTTACCTAATCCATTTCAATGGCCTTTATAGTCGTTCCCATTTATTATTATTTCTAATGCATTAATATACCGGATGGACCTCAGGAGTGTTATGATTGGACTCCAACTAGACCGATCTGCTACTATCATTAATAGCTTCTTAATTTACTTGTAAGCGATGTATAGATCATAATGTCTCGTTTTTATATACGGGGGGCAGTATAAACATTCAATCACTTTTGGCTTTTCTTATTATATTCCGTTAACCTTAAAATTTAATAAATTTAGGAAGACCAGACCATCTCAATAAATCTTAATGGTTCAAAATTGGTAATCAATAATTCTGGAGAGATTTGACCTCCATTGGCGCCCATTAAGACCTATTTGAAATTTGCGAAGTTGTTTAACCCACTCCCGTCTCCACTGTTTAGCTTAGCCGCGGATACCCATCTGTCTTATTTGTTACCGACAGATGATTTAGTCTCCTCTTGTGATTTGTGAGGTGACAATAGGCCTTTTGTCATACCTTCTTTCCCAGATCACCATCTTTCTTCTTTCCAATTCGTAGTCCAAGTTTCACACACGTAGTACTGATGATCTATTTGTTGACCTTGACACATTTTTACCTAGAGCGGTGTGTTCAACGACCCCACTGCTATCCTGTCTTTCAGAAGTTTTTTCATGCATTTGTATATCTTCGTCTTCTCTATTTGTCGCTATAACTATAACACTTGCTCGTAGTATAATCCATTCATTTCCTTCGGTCATCTTCCCTCACATCGTCATAAATTTAGATTTTTCTTGGTTCATTATCATACCATGTGTTCTATAGCTTCTTCTTCGAATTTTGCAATCTTTTTTGTAGTTCTTTTCTTGAACCTATGTATTAATGTCTGTTATTCGGATTCGTATCGTTAGTTGTCACCAAATTTATTGAAACTACCAATTCCGTATCCAGAAGCACTTAGGATGAAATTTGTATATTTTTAATTGAAATGATGCTTTCGCTACTGTGTGATCTTAAGATCATATCGAGTCGCCTGGAAAGATGCAGAAGGCTCTTAATAGTATTCTGCAAATTTTCTCAGAAAACACGATTGTTGAACCCAATTATCCCTTAGCCCACCAAATGGATCGGTGCTCTTGGTTCAGGTGTTACCGTGCTAACACTTTCTATTTGGTAATCGTTGTGGATGTTCCAAATGAAACGACCTGGTTGCCAAATGCATTCCAACTTTCTTATTCAATTTCAAAAGGATTGTAAAGTAATTTGTGAGTTGAAGACCCCTCTGATATCAAGTAATTTGAACTAACCCCACAAAGTAGTATACAAGATTGTCATCTCTTCTTCATAATTGTCAAATGACAAATGACATATGTCTGCCAGATGACAGGAACAGTGATTCTCCCTCTTTCGATCTCTCTCAAGGCTAACCCCTGGTAGAAGCTTCATCACACATTTATGTGGATTTTTTAACTGAGAAAAGAAACACAAATAGAATTGCACTTTTATCATCTTCAAGATAACATATAATCCTTTAATTGTGAATTTTGCGCTCTATATAGGCCTCCAAGATAAGAGAACTGCTTAGTTTCACTACTATCATATCACCAAGATTATTACCCATTGTCATGTTATTTCAGGCCTTCTTCTTCCTGCTTCATTATCACCCTATACTGCATCAACGCCCTACCTAGTACATCTGCCTGCTTTTGTTCAGCTTTCCCAAATTGCATGATCATCCCCAAACATCCTAAGATAGGAACGTGCGTAACATAGTTTGAGGTCTCGATTCCGAACCACATTAGTCTGCACGAACCTGTTAGTCACCAAAAGTCAGAGCAACTGCCCTGGATTTGATACCAGCCAAGACAATTGAGATCTTTCCTTATGTCTGCTTGGCGCTTAAACCTGCTTGCTATACTGCTTTTCTGCATCTTGGGTCCAGCTATCAATTGAACTACTGTAGAAGTATGAGGACTATAAAAAAAAATGACAAGTCTTGCTAATAATTCAACTTACTGGGTGTAAACCTCAAGTATACTTTGGGTACTCACTTGAATTGTCAATCTGATGTATGCTTAATAACTGCTAGAGATTTTGAAGTAATCCTCGGTAATATCAGATATCATTTCCTGTGAAGTTGAAGGGTAATCGACCCAGCATCCCTCTCCGAGTGTAGTCTACAAAAGAACACTAGCTAATTACTCATTTACATCGCGGAGCTGAATACCGTTTAAGAAATCCCAGCTCGCGATAATCTGAATTAATTAACGTAGCACAAGTCTGACAGGCAACCTCTATGTAGCTGAAAAAAATAACAATTGAAATTCATTCACCATTCACAAAAACTATATTTCACGCTATCGGCACCACATGCCTAACAAGAATCAAATACTCCCAAAGCAAATTTTCATTAGACCGTACCAAGACCGTGAATTACGATGTAGGAATTTAACGTACGCCAAACGAATGTTCGGAAGGAGCGAGTGAGCTAAAGTCGACGATTAGTCGTTCTGGCGAGGATTGAATATTTCGAAAAATGTTCGCGAACTCCCACACTCGCACAAGAAAAAATATTATAATGTTTATATTGATGTTGTAGGTGGATAGAAAGCATGCTTAGGGGAAGATTGGTATATACAACCATTATGGGGGAAACAGTCGTGGCACGGGTAGCAGGGGGTTGTCCTCGTCCTTGTAATGGACGAGCTATTATGTCTCCTGGACTTCAATGGGTATAAAGCACTGGGCTATGCAGACGACTTATTCATCTTAGTCAAGGGCAGATACAATTAAGTAGTGAAGGGAAGCATGCAGCAGGCCCTGAATATTATAACAAGATGGCCGAAGAAGAAGGGCTTAACATAAGCCCATTCAAACCGACCTTAGTAGCATTCACCAAAAGGACTCAAACGGAGGGTCTCGGACCTCTAAAATTTCGAGATGAAGAAATACAAGTGTCGGGGAGGTTAAATATCTGGGAGCAATTCTAGATCCCAAACTGACCTGGAACCAACACCTGGACAGGATAGAAAGGAAAACGGAGGTAGCACTGATGCTCGCCAGAGGCACCTATGGAAAAACATGGGGCTAAAACAAGACATGGCATATTGGTGGTTGAACCCATGATAACATACGCATCCCTGGTCTGGTGACCAAAGATGAAGCAGGCGACCGCCATCAATAAACTAGACAAGATTCAAAGACTTGCATGTTTGGGAATGACGGGAGGAATGAGAACTACCCCAACAGCTGCATTGGAGACACTCCTGACTCTACCTCCTTCACACTTTGTGATAATAGGGGAAGCCAGGATGGGCCAATTCAGACTGGAAAACTCACCAAACTACAAAAGATCGGACTGAACATAAATTTCGGAACCTGTGGAGGAGCACATATTGAATATGTGCACGGACCACATGACATCGAAGTACACCTGTAACATAAACTTCACGGCCAAAATCATAAGCCGTGAAGAGTGGAAGACCATTAGTCATCCCGAAAATATGTTTGGAAAAAAATCCTGGTATACAGATGGATCTAAGACAAACATGGAACGGGAGCTGGAATATACTGAGAAATTTAAGCTACAGTTATCCGTCTTTCAGGCAGAAGTGTATGCTATCTTGCAGTGTGTAAGGGTTGTTAAATTGAGACCTCTAAGAAATGAGCGGATCAATATTTTAACAGACAGCAAGAGCACACTAGGGGCTCAAAATTGGTCTGGGAGTGCCATGAAGAACTGAATGAACTTGCAAACAGGAACAAATTAATTTGTACTAGGTGCCAGGGCATTAAGGAATCACAGGTAATGATAAAGCTGGTGAATGCGCTAGACACGGATCATCAACTTCATATATTGGTCCTGAACCAGCTCTGGGGGTACCAAAATCGTTGGTACGAAACCAGATTAGGACATGGACCAATGAGAAGCACACAGAGTACTGGACAAAAGTACCTGGCAACAAACACAGTAGAACCTTCATTAGAGAACCGTCCGAGAAAAGAACCGGAGAACTACCACAATATAGTAGAGATCGGCTCAGAATAATTACAGGGTTACTTACCGGTCAGTGTTCGCTTAGAGGACACCTGAATAAAATGGGGCTGCACAACGGAGACCTCAGCTGCGAATGTGAGGCACTGAATCACAGGAGGCAGGCAGGCAATATATCCAGAATATGACGAACATCCAACACGGAACCTGTACAAACTAGTACAGGGAACGAGACTAATGGAATGGGTGTCATGAGAAGATGGGAGAATAAACGCAATAAGCCCAAGAGGCTGCAGTATTTTTCGGAGACTTGGACTAAATGGACAAGTCAGACAGCTCCCAAGGGACCAAAAAAAAAGTGGTAGGTGTAATATGAAGATCAATTCAGTAAAGCTCCTTCAAATGTTGGGGCAAGTTGAATAAAATTCGAGCGCTAAGTCGGCACCCCTCTGCGACACATCCGACGCTCATGTCTTTCAGTTTCGCTAACGGATGTAGAATTTAATAAGAATAATTCCGAGAAATTAATCCAACAAAGTCTAATTTTAATTTTAGATGTTTCTTTTGATGTCGGTGCACTTTGCCCGGCCGCGTCCGAAGCGTTTTTATTCGGTCTCGCGTGTCGTGGCGCCGAACGACGACGTCGCGTCTCTCGCGTCTTTGTCACGTGTGCTGCGTGTTGCCACTAAAACAAATTATGCTAGGTTTATGCAACACACCTATTAAATAAGACTAAGACTGAGAAAATTTTCTGTTTAACCAATACACAACAATAGGAGAGTTTTTGGACGAACAATGACTAAACATTTCTTCTCAACAGCGATGAAACTGACATACATGACACTAACATCTAACTGTCATTATTCTTGAATTATACGTGACTCCCGAGGCCTAGTTATGAATCATTCTGACAGTTTCAATCACTGTCACTATCCTATACTATAATTACAAAATAATAAGTACTAAATTCTCAGAAATGACTTAGGTTTTTGCCCTAATCTGTCTCTTGCAAAGGCGCACGGTAGTTATATTAAACAAATGAAGAAAAATGAGGATAAAATATATAGAATCACAACCTCGACAACAATATATTAGTTTTCATTCAATAATATTTCTGAGAATTCAGTGCCTACTATTAAGGAATTGTACTATAATCGAATTGAAGCAATTAAATCAAATATTCAGATGTGATTGTGACTAAATATTAAAACTTTTGCATAAATGCTTCTGTAGAAACTCACAGGTTCAATTTGATATTATGATTGTGATAGTAACTAGACTCTATTCTTCTCCTCCTATCGCTACCCGTATTGGCCGGGACAATTACTTTGCTCTTAACCGATCGTAATTTAAATACTTCTCTCTTTGATCCTTCGAGTGGAGGAGACCTTGTTCTTTACCAACATATATTTTGATTCTTTGGTCATCCTGAAGTTTATATTCTTATTCTTCCTGGATTTGGGATACTTTCCAGATTATTAGTCAAAAAAGAAGCTTTTGAAACATTAGGAATAATTTATGCTATAATAGCAATTGGACTTTTAGGTTTCATTGTTTGAGCTCATCACATATTTACTATTGGAATAGACGTAGATACACGAGCTTATTTTACTTCTGCAACAATAATTATTGTTGTACCTACTGGAATCAAGATTTTTAGATAATTATCTACTTTCCATGGTACACAAATTCTTAATAATCCAGCTACTCTTTGATCTCTTGGATTTGTATTTCTTTTTACTGGTACAGGATTGACTGGTGTCATTTCAACTAATTCTTCTATTGGTATTATCCTTCATGATACATATTATGTTGTTGCTCATTTTCATTATGTTTCATCAATTGGGGTTGTATTTGCTAGAACATTGATTTTCTTTATGCACAGGATTAACTTTCTATATTTCTTCACTATATTTATCGGTGTTAATTTAACCTATTTTCTTCAACGCTTCTCAGTAACTAGACTCAAACGACTCGCTAATACAAGAGGCTAAAATGAAAAATGCATTGCCGCACAACAATCCTCCAATTCAGAAATATCTAAATCGAAACTGAGTCCTACAATAAGACATCATTATTATTAGTCAGTAGACTATGCTTGAAGACAGGCAGTAAACAAATCTAAAGAAATGAACTTTAAATGTTCAAGCCCGTAGTGTGTGAACGCAGTTCGTGATATTAGCCAGTGGAGTAGTTGTTTTCTGATAGGCGTCAGTCCATTCAACCTACTGTGTAAGTTTATTCATTTCTTCAGATTTGTTTACTGCCTGTCTTCGAACATACTAATAAGAACGTTTTTCTTCCTTATTCAGAGGAATCGGGAAAATTTCGGATATGCAGTTGATTAGTACCTCGTCCACTAGATGGAGTGACATTTTTGATGTTCGCTCCAGCTTAAGACGAGGAATGAAATAGTCTGAGAAAGAATTTCGATTTTCAATTATGGAATATCATTGACTTTAGGTCGATTATGGTCACTATCTTGCACTGACGAGTGGTTAAGGAGCCCGAAACCGGTCTGCGAGTGTGCCCGTTCCAAAATTGAAGGTGGACTCTTTCAGTTATATTACCAATTGCACTGCACTGACGCCAGTCGGATATAATCCAACGCCATTCGTGGTATTAGCCAGTGGAGTAGTAGTTTTTTTATAGGCGTCAGTCCATTCAAACTACTGTGTAGGTATATTGAACATTAAAATTCATTTCTTTAGAAGACATTTTTAATTCGTACTTCCAAACAATTTTTTGCTGAAATTTTATTTAATATTTGACTTGAGAATTGATATTTTGTTCTTATATCGATGTATTCAGCTGTCAATATTTTACGAAATAATCTCCATAAATACTACTTGACTTGAAAGTTTTTTCAAATGAATATCCTTTCTTTCAAACTTGTTTTAGCAATTGGATACCAGATTTCAATCAACTTTTGCTCCAGAAAAACGGTCATTTTGATAACTTCGTGGAAACATCTGATGATTCAGTCTACTTCTTCTTTTTCCATTAATGGCTTCAGCTGCCAGGGCTATCCAGCCAGGAGTTCCAGGATCATGTTGCTACTGCAGGTGGAGCCCACACTAAAGTGGATCTGAGTTGGACCCAAACCCCACTTGGTTTTGCGCTATAACAAAGTTCGACTGTAGTTTGAGGTCAGTTAACAAGCAATGTCCGTCTGCACTAGAGTGTAAGCACTAATGTGAGGTGATGCACTACGGTTACGTGTATGGACACTACGATCAGGTTATGATTGGCGAAGCACTTTTTTGATTGAACTCGTACAAGAGACGCGCAAAAAACCGTACAACACGAATTTCACTTTCACGCGAGCCTGCCCGTACGTCAACCCGAACTCATCCCGCCCAATTTAGTGTATTAGATACTTTTTGAAGAAAAAAACTCGCTTCGAAAGCCCTCGGCTCGCATATGTTGGCAGAAGTTGTTCGACAAATGTTGCGTGATGTAAATTATGTGAAAAAATATCGAGATTACATTCGATAAAACGGGCGCAGTGTGCACGTTACGTTTAAATATCACGAGTACTCACAATTACGATTACTCGACGTTATTATTCAAGATGGCCGCCTTTCGATGGGGGGCAGATGCCCCTCCGCATTTGTATCGATGCAAAAGTGCGAATCTCGAAATTGCTCGTAATTGGCCATGGGAAAACGCCGGTTGAATGATCTCTCGTTTTGAAGATATATGTATAATATCAATAAATTGCCGGTTTCGTATCAATTACAGCAGCTTCTGTAATCGTATTCGGTCTGGCAGTTATATAATTGGTTAATAAGATGCAAATTTTAACGGATGACGAGAACAATTTTTTATTTATGTTTATAATGTATGTTCGAAATGAGATTGCTTCGTTTTGCGACGAAAGAATTTTAGTGGTTCATTTGCTATTTCATCGGCAGGAAAACTTAAAAAAAGCTATGGCTCCGCCTGGGTAATTTCTGATATAAACTGAAAAAACACACATAAAGTTTGATTTTTCCTTTAAATCCATTTTACGAAATTTTATGTTGGCAGGTGACCCTAATATTCATCGAAAAATAGTCTCCAGCGATGAAGGCCATTTCTGGTTGAATTGGTACGTGAACAAAGTTGTCGAATTTGGGACGATACCAATGCATATGAGATCCAAAAGCGTCCAGCGCGTCCCGAAAAAGTCACTGTTTGGTGTGGATTTTCGGCTGATGACGTCATCGGTCCATATTTATTTCTTTGAGAAATATGTTGAGCAGGCCATCACTGTCAACGGCAACCACTGTAGGTCGATGGTAACCAACTTATTTTCACCTGAATTTGATGATTTGGATACCAACGACATGTGGTCTCGACAGGACAATGACTAAGTTTGTGTGAAAACAGTAAATAATACTGGACCGAATATGGAGCTTTGGGGAACCCCGTTTTCTATTGTCAAGAAATTGGATCAGTTTCCATCTGCTTGCCCAAGTATGACGGTAGTAAGGTAACTACAGCTGAGGAAAATATAATGCAACAATATAATGATAATTCTTTATTAGTGTTATGTGAAGTAGGGTTTGCAAGAATGTGTACGTTTAATTCCGAAAATCAGGCGTATTATTCTCTTTTGTGATATCAGCAATCTTTGAGATGATACTGCATTGCCCAAGACAACTATATTATAGGATATATGGGGATATATGAGGCCATAGTAGAAATTGATAAGTTGAAGCTTATTGAAGATGTTATTCATCTGCAAAATGGCATAATACCCATTATTCATTTTCTTGCTGATACGATCGATACAATTTCTGAAGGTTAGATTGAAGTCTAAGAACGTGCCTAAAAACTTCGTAAATTCTGATGTAATCAGTGTCGCGTTACTTATTTCCGGGACCATACTATTGTTTTTTATAGAGTATTGCATGAGAATGGTTTTGTTGTGGCTAAGTATTAATCGATTACAGACACACCAGTTACTGAATTTGTTATGAAGTTCGTTAACTTTCTCATCAAATTCACAATCATTTTCACTGTGAAATTCAACAGATACATCATCGGCATATAATACTGAGCAATCGGCATTCATATACTCTGGCAAATCATTGATGAACGTAAGGAAAATCAATGGACCCAGTATAGATCCTTGTGGTACAAGTTTAAACAAGTCAAGAAGGTACAGAAATATGAAACATGGGTGATATATTGGTAGCACTAGAATTTATAAGTAATACAGTTAACAAGAAAACAAAATTAACAAAAATAGTTCGGATATTACAGTTCATATTTTTTTTTTTAATCAACATTTAAAAATTCGATAAAACCATAAAAGGCACTACGATAATTTGGGTGTATGTTCTTGGATCCTCTTGTGTGGTGGTTATGTACATCAGCGTGACTTGTGTAATTATGCAGGTTGGTTTTTAATTGGATAAGGCGCGTTTGGATAGTGTTGCCAATAATAATTTGTATATGATAAAGAGGAGTGTGAGAATGTATGATAAGAGGGTAGTAGTTTAGCATTTTGGCGATATCGTCTATATGAGATAGATGTGAGCGGACAGTTTTTTGCAGATGTTATTTGTACGGACCCATTTACTGTTTGTCAGAATCCACCAAATTTCTGTTAGAATGAACCAGAGCTGTGTCAGTTGCGTTTGTTAATAGGTTTGGTCGTGGTGAGGCAAGTGCTAGGTCATTTATCACTATCAGAAAGATAATAGGTCCAAGTATGAAGCCTTGAGGCAAACCATCAATACTATTCTGGTAAAAGTTACATTGGTTCGATTTCTTCAGAAGGATATCTGAAGAGAGACAATCGAAGGTTTTTTTTTGTTTTTAAAGGCTACAGTCACAAAATCTGTTACAATATGGAGAGTAGTGGAAAGGCTAGATCGGAAACCAAACTGTAGCTAAGTAAAATATTCATTGTTTTCCATACATTTGGTTAATTGATATTTCAGTAGAATTTTGGAGTGTTTTCCCAGGGAAGGTAAGATTGCAGTTGGGCGAAAATGTGATTGGTCCTCTAAAGAATCCTTTTTATGGATGAGGATCACCTCAGCGCTTTTGAAAATTGAATCAGCCAAATGGAATATGGTTTGTAGTTAAAAATAATTGGGACATACTTCTGTTGAATGCTTCAATATAACAAAGGCTTTACTCAGTTGCAGTGAATATATCATCTTTGGCCTTGATCAATACACATCAACAAACTGAGTTATTCGAATCAGAGACTAAAATGCTATAGTATGTAATTGATTAAAGATAAGTTTAGTGCCGGGTTTGTTACAATATAAAAAACAATACGAAGATGTGAAATATATCGAGCCTCGTACATATTTTCTATTTATTGTTATCGCTTCTCAGACCGCGGGTATAACAACCTGAACAACACGTCTCCGATACGAAATAAAAAGTAAATACCGAGCCAGTCAAAATAATGGATGAAAATTGTTTGTTTTATTGTTTAGAATGAAACTACAAGTGCAACACTTGGACAATGTATGTATAATGTATTAGAAACGACGTAATATACGACCTGGCAGACGGTAGAATTTCGATTTTCTTCGAGAGTTGTTACGCCTTTTGTCGTTTAAACCGTCAATACTCGTAAACAGGACTGTAACGTGAGATTGCTCTCTTGGAAGGCTTTAATAAAGTCACAAAGTACTGAGGTTACGTTCCCGTTTTACATAAACGTGACGGATGTTTTTGTTGCCAGAGTAATTGTCCGCGGTTCACAGCGATCTCGGGTTCCCGATTTCTAATTAGCGGGAAAAGCCCGGCACTGTTACTTTTTAACTACCGATGAAAGTGCAGGCAAATGAATTTTTTCAAAGACTTTCATTTCATCATGAAGGAGAACCCATTTAACGTCATTGAAAACACAAACTGTACGTTTGAAGTTTATGAAGTCAAATCATTACGGAGCTCTTTGTACGAGGTGAGGCTGTATAGAGAATAAAGAAATTGATTTTCTGTAAAGCAAACTGGCCGTTGCGCTGGATATTTCAAGGCA